TTAATATATTCATCATTTATTTAACAAAATCTTGATTGAATATATAAAAATGACGTGTATATAATATATATATATTATCTTGAAAGATAAAAATTGGATAATGTCAAGATTCACATCTTGAAATGTCAACACTTAAYAAATGCGTCAATGGATGACAAAATTATTTGAATTATTTAAATAATTTTCTTATACATTAATATATTTCAGATATTTCAGATATGCAGGATGATGTGTAACTGGTGGTACAAGTGAAAAGGGGATGATACTAAATGACTTTCGCAAAGTACACGTGCACTTGATCATGTCTCGTTATAACGGACCTACGAACTTTTCGAAAATACCCTACCAACTTTCCGAAAATACCCTACGAACTTTTCCGAAATATCCAATGAACTTTTCGGAAATACCTTTTACGAAAATTCAAAGTCGATTTTCTCGAAAACAAAAACCTAAATAAAAAAATATTTATTCTATATTTTCAATTTATTTTTTCATGTAGATTCATCCCCTTTTCACTTGTACCACCTGTTACAGATCACCCTGTATATGAAGCTTATCCTAATATTATATCTAATTTATATTTTATATAATATTAATTAAATAATATTAACGAACATTTACGTTTTTAATACGATATTTAACCCTTATCGGTGGATTTACAATTATACAAAAATATTTTTAATATAAATAATAAAAAAATAATAATAATATTATTATAATTAAAAATATTAAATTATAATTAATAAATTAATCCTATAATATTGAACAATTTTATTTTGCTATTGACCAAAACTTAACTTACAATTACAACTTACAATTAATGAAAATCACCCATATAAAAACCTTAGGACCAATAAGGGTTAATATCAATTTAAATAAAATACTTTCTAACAAAAAATTTACACGATTTTAATTTCTATCGTTCATAACAAGTGTATGTTTATCCAACAACAACAAAAACATGAAAACAAAATCAAGTTAAACACAGATTTGAAGATGGTAATCATCAAGTTACGAATTCATCTGTACATCAAAGACTTTATTCAATTCAATTCAATTCAATTCAATTTGGTTTTACGAAAAACACGAGATAAAAAAAAAAAGAAAAAAGAAAAAGAGATAGAAGAGACTGACTAACGAACGAACCTTGACACTAATGGGCCAGAATATTTGCCTTACACGTAACATCCACTTGTACAGTTTTCGACCTCTAACTTATTACAGCGATTAAACGTCTTAAAGGGATTTCTGACATTGTCTGCTGCGTTGAGAATAAAGCTAGCTAGCCTAACTATTACCAACCTTCTACTATGAATGTTGTAACATTTCGTAAGGTTTACTAATGTTTCTAGAGAGGAACACAAATTACCTTTAACCCCCTTAATGCTTAATAACTAACATCCATTCTACCTAACAAAAATAATTAACTAATAATCAGTTACAAATAAGATAAGATTATTCAATATGATATACGAATAATATTTAAGTAAATAATTTATTAAATTGATAATATTTTATCATATTTTGTTCATTGTTTACAAGATTGTTGTGTCATAGTTTTTCTTTTTTTTCTTTATTTTGTATTTTTGTTTTATTTTTCCTATTTTTTTTTTTTTTTTTTTCAATTTCAAGCGTACTTACTCAACAAATTCGCATTACTCTTATGTATTAACTTTCGCGTGAAATAGTCGCAATATCATATTTCATAAAATAGTATACTCACCACCAAGAGAGATTTATGAAATATTTATTAAGTAGAGTAATTACATAACAAAGATGAGTTGTGCAAAAAGATTATATTACTTGTAACTACAATAATCTGATAGATTAAATGATGAATAGAAAGGATGTAATAATCGATAACAATTCATTATAAATTCGTCAAGGCGGATAAATGTGAGTCGAAGGTGCGTAGTTTATTATTTCCTTATTTGTACGAGAGAAAACCGGTCTTACCACATTCGTCATTAGAAAATCTTCTTCATCGTTTCTTAGAAACCCTTTTATGAACCCTTACTTCTTGAGGATGAACAAATCAATTCACCTCTCGACAGGATCCTTCTTTTTTTTCTTCTTTTTTTTTCTTCTTCCCCCTCCCCCATCCTCGTACGAATCACGATATAAACGCAATTTTCATTGGGTTGTCTAATTTTTGTTTTTTTTTTTTTTAAATTCGAGACTGCCACGTGAGACTGTTTTAATCCTTTAACGCTGTATCATGTGAAACGTTCGCTTGTTTTTTTCTTCTCGTCATTCCTTTTGGAAATGAAAAGCGACGATACGATGATTATAGGCTCGTTGTATCAACCCTAGCGAAAGAGTGTTATCAACGAACCAGAAATTTGACGCGTCGATTAAAGCTCCACGCAAGCAGAAAAATACATAGAAAGAGAGAAAAAGAGAATGAAAGAGAAAGAGTGACAGAGAGACAGAGACAGACAGAGACAGAGAGAGAGAGAGAGAGAGAGAGAGAGCAATATTGGAAATGAAAGGCAGAACAACTTTAAGTCTCTAGGTTTTATTATTTCAATCAAAAAAAAAAAAAAAACAAACAAATATAAATAACAAAGTTTATTATTTCAAAAAGATTTCCCATTGGATGACTGATATTTATTCCAAAATTGTTTCCCATCATGAAAATCGTAGGATTGGTCGAGAAATCAAATCATCATACTTTAATTTTGATATTCCTGAAAGTATTAAATAGTTAACTTGAAAGAGAAACAAGTAATTAAGGGATCGACAAGTGAGCTATCATCATTCTATCCGTGTTCTCGAATTTCAAGGAAAGGCAGACTCTACCTTATTTCTGCCCTTGCACTCTATCTATCTCTCTCTCCTCATTAAAAAAAATATATATATATATATATAAATAACAAAGTTTATTATTTCAAAAAGATTTCCCATTGGATGACTGATATTTATTCCGAAATTGTTTCCCATCATGAAAATCATAGGATTGGTCGAGAAATCAAATCATCATACTTTAATTTTGATATTCCTGAAAGTATTAAATAGTTGATTTGAAAGAGAAACGAGTAATTAAGGGATCGACAAGTGAGCTATCATCATTCTATCCGTGTTCTCGAATTTCAAGGAAAGGCAGACTCCACCTTATTTCTGCCCTTGCACTCTATCTCTATCTCTCTCTCTCTCTCTCTCTCCCTCCCTCTCTCACACTCGCGACCTCGACAAAAGCCGTAGGTAGCATCGGCGGACCTTTACACCAGTAGTCGAACCTACTCTCTAACACCATTCTCTTCTTCGACAAATTGAAAAGTTAGCAATCGAAAGCGAACCTTGACACCTTTTTTTCCTAACTCACTCGCTCACTCGCTCTCTCGCTCTCTCGCTCTCTCGTTCACTCGCTCGTCGTTTTTCGAGGGCTAAGCCACTCGAGGAAAGACTCGCGGATATGCTTTCTGCTTCTGGACGAGCGCGCGTCACCCAACAGGGGGAAGCTTCTTAAAATAGATTCTAGTACCGGCTAGAGGTTATTCCTTGTACTTACACACACACACACATACACACATGCATATGTATATCTACATTTGAATACACACTATTTTAATTTATATACAATGCCCGATATTTGTTTCTCTGTGTGAACAACAGTTACCATTTGTAGGATACATGGATACTCCTCTGTGGATTTACGTATCCTTGCACATCGATCTTGGTTTTTTTTTTCTTTTTCTTTTTCTTTTACCTAATTGTAAGATACTTTACGTAAACGAATAAAAAAAAAAAAAAAAAGAAAAAAAACACGTTACATTTTCCGTTTAAAACAAAATTGCATGAAAATTGTATATACTCGTTCGAAATTTGTCTTCAATGGGGTCACTTTGATGTATTTTTTTTTTTGTTTTTTTTTCACTTTGAATCAAGAGAAAGAGAGTAAGAGTGTAAGGAGAACCAAGAGTGAATTGAGCCCTTATTTTCACGATGACACGTTCTACCAACTGTATATCATCGAGCCACTTAAATGTATATTATCCTGTCGTCGTCTCTGTAGTACATGGCACATGTGCATTTATATATATATAAAAATACGTTTATCTGTATTAGTGTCCTACTCCCACACGCGACATTTTTTTTTACTCTGCACGTCACAAAGTGGCAGAGTGCATCCGAAGAAGCCGCCACCAATTCTCTCTCTCTCACACATCTTCAACTTTTTGTCTTCTTCTCTCTTTCTTTTATCTTCTTCTTCTTCTTCTTCTTCTTCTTCTTCTTTTTTTGTATTCTTCTTTTCCATCCCCGTTTTCTCGTTGTTGCATATTTCTCTCTCCCTTTTCATTTCTTTTCTATCCTTTTCTACTTTCTATCCCTTTACTATCAAAACCGTCTCTCTCGTTCGCGTCACAAACGAATCTAAAGAAATATCTAACGTGCTTCGAAGAGAGGGACATCCCATTCATGTGGATGTATTATCATTATGCAAATGCGTAGGTCGTGTAGGAAATGTAAAGAGTGCTGAAAAACGTACACACATAGGGGGGAGAAAAAAAAAATACACAATAAAAGAAAGAGTGAAGCACAGAAGGTACTTGGAAAAATTTTGACAATTACACTAGGTCAAGTTGATTTAATGAACGCGCATATTTGCCGTGGGGGAGGGGCAGAAGGGCAGAAGGGCAGGGGAGGGGAACAAGGAATATGAAAAAATAAGAAGAAAAACAATTGTTCGTACACTTTGTCAAAAAATATCATTCGCAATAAGATCATTTGTTGTATATTTCTACGATATCGTTTGTAAAGCATGCGTCATGCGTCATTTTTTAACGTCAACGATTAATTAACATTTAAAGATAATTTTCCTTAACCGATGTTCTTCCCGGTCGTGTAATTAGACTAGAATCGATTAATTATTTACATGGTCGTTGATTATGCGTTACAGGGAGGGCGAAGGTGGTGGCGGTGGTGGGGGTGGAGTCGGTGGCCGTTCTGTGAGTAGCACTACTGGTGGTGGCGGAGGAGGAGGTGGAGGAGGAGGAGGAGGTGGTGGCGGTGGAAGTGTCGGTGGTCGACGTGCACCGAGTCTACGATTGGTAAATGGAAGAGCTACCACCGGGATCAGTTTACACACCAGCAGCACAGAATCCGTACGTTCGCCTCATCACCACCTCGGTTGTCAGAGCGCCAACAACAACAACAACAACAACAACAATAATAATAACAACAATAATAACAACAATAATAATAATAACAACAACAACAACAACCACAATAACAATAACAACTGCCACGCCGGTAACAACCCCGCCGCGAACAATCATCCAAGACTCAACAAAGATGACAGCATCAAGATTAGCATCGAGAATACCAACACTTGTACGGACAGTCTTGTCACCGCTTTAGACGACGAGGCGCTGCTCATCACTGACTTCTTGGGCGATACAGGTGACTGATCTTATCTTTTTCTTTCTTTACCTTTTCTTTACCAAATGTTTGTTCCATTATAATTTATAATGTTTCTAGTTTTTCTGATTATTCTTTTTTTTTTTTTGTTCAATCCTTATATGAGTATTCATACCGTATTTAGGTAGAACAGAGCAGAGTAGAGCAGAGTATAATAGAGTAGGTATATACCTATCGATATGCTCGAGCGAGCATGAAAGTTTAAATCGGTCGTTCGGCAAATGCGCATAACGAGCCTATTATCAACTCGTGAAATATAAAGAACCTATCGGCGTAGTTGCATATTTATTGATATTGTATATATTATTATTATTATTATTATTATTATTATTATATTGCTTCATGCAGTAGTATATTGCCTAGTGAAATCGTAGTATGATTAGAGGAACATATTAAACTTCTCCTTCTTTTTCCATCTCTCTCTCCCTCTCTCTCTCTTTCTCCCTCTCTCTTGCTATTTCTCATTATTTCAATTCCGCAATACTTGACGACGGAGATAGAAAAGTAATATATTTATCTTATTTACATAAATCGAAGTATAATTAAAACGCAAATTCCCGTGAATAATTGACCGATCAGGATAATACTAAACAAGAGATGTTATTGACAGTAAAAAAAAAAAAAAGGAGAAATTAGATAATTTGTATCCGTAAAATATAAAATATTACAAAATTTTTCCTACTTTCCAGCAACGCAAATTGGTATATATATATATATATATATATATATATAATTAAATGCAAAGTTAACGAATCGTTTCTCGAAAGTATCTCATGAGAGAAAAAGAGAGGGAGCATCGTAGCATAACGATAAAAGTTCCAAATGGAATGAGGATACGATTGCATGCGAACGATGCCACGTTTGAAGCCGGTTCCGGAACATACACACATTTATTATACATACGTATACGTAAGCATACTACACAATATACATATATATATATTGTATATAATATTAACGTTTAATATTGAGCTACATACGTAAATATAAATATACATATGCGTATATCATTCATTCATTCGGTGTCGGACATTCGTCGTCAAACGAAGACCATTGCTACTACATCACGCGAACTAATCTCTGTACATCCGATCGTGAATATTTTCTTCGATTACGTATGTCACGCAAGGGCGAAGAAAAAGACATAATATGTATATCCCCCTAACTTGAGATTTACATGAGTTTGACGTGCAAGATAAATAAGTAGATGGCGAGAGAACATAGTTGCCGATAGAAACCGGTCAGCGATTATACTTCTCTCTCTCTCTCTCTCTCTCTTTCTCTACCTCTTTCTTTTTTTTCTTTTTCTTTCTCTCTCTCTCTCTCTCTCTCTTTCTCTCGTTTTCTCGTTTGCCACGATCCTCCTCTTGTTCGTTACCACCGTCCCCCTTTACCTTCCTCAGTCGAGTTTCGGTACGTCTTCGATTCTCAGTTTACTCGAGTCTCCTTCGTTCGACACGCGTACGTTTAAATAGCAACAGTACAAAGAAAGAGGAAAGGTCATGGAAAATTCTTCGAATTTCGTCGTCGATAATCGACGTTTCGTTTTAGAGGGACAAAGGACCCCGTTATTGTACAACGGTAAAATCAAATCCTGCAAATCCATATTTATTTCACACGAGAACAAAACGTTAATTTCTCCTTGTAAGTTGTTAGTTATCTTAAAGAAATATTTCATTGAACAATAATTTATCAATTGTTTTTCTTGTTTGTTATGTTGGTTCGCAGGCAACGAGATGAATTACAAAGGCAGCGGAAAAGTCCACTTCGGAGTGGACGATGTGTCCCTCTATGGGACGCCGAAAGAGGAACCGGGCCCGGGTCTACCGGGCCAGGAGGTTAAACAGAGCTTCCTTAAGAATCAGCTTCAAGCCCTCTTTCAGCCGACAGACAACAAGCTTGCGATGAAACTCTTCGGCAGCAAGAAGGCACTTATGAAGGAAAGGATCAGGCAAAAGGCGGCGGGTCACTGGGTCATCCATCCTTGCTCCAGTTTCCGGTGAGATCTATTATATTTTATTTAACTTTCTATCGATTTTATATACATATATATATACGTATAACAACTTTTAATCATTTTCGACGGATACCTACATGTGTAAAAATGTTATATGTATATGTATGTATCTTCTTTTTCTTCTTCTTCTTCTTCTTCATGAATCTGTGAGAAAAAAAAAAGGATAGAATCGATTAACGTAATCTCGCGTACGTTCGCTTAAATGCGAAATATCATTGACGAAGCTAAATCTTATACGTAAATATATTTCTCATCTTTGTAATCTTGTGTTTAATTTTTTTTTCTTTTCTTTTCTTTTCAATCAAAGTTTTTATGTTGCATAACACGTCGATGACTTTTTAATATGTATATAAGTGCGTATAAATTGCACAATGGAAACGCGTGTAACACGTAAAATCCTTTAGATATTTTCACTCTCACGTGTGTCATGATCAATCTAACATTTACGAATACGCAAGATAATAAGTCAGTTAAAGTTTAAACTTTGATCACAAAAATTTTCTATATATATATATACTTATTCGTTCAAAAGTTTTTTATTCGTCTAGCTTGGAATGTGTCGATGAAAAGAGTCCGGTTTCTAGTTTCCATCGGGGCAAAACAAAGTTAGTTCAGGTAGAAAGATGAAGAGAAATTTTACTACCCTAAAACCACTAAGCAACGATCCCTCTCGATGATAATCCCCTATTCCTAACACAGGTATTTACACGGATACACATATACATACATAGATACATAGATAGAAAGCTGGTATTATTTATGAGAGACATTTACGAGTGTATGCTCGAATTCGTATCGTTCTTTGGTAAAAGCACTGCTCGTATTATCAAACGACCGGAATTAGCTCCAGTGTTGGCCGATGTAACGACCATTCCATAATGCATGAAACAGTATAAACCTGGCCCAGTGATACGCGTTTGTCCTTCTAATTGGTTGAAATTGTTCAACGTTTTCATTCGAAATCTTGGCTAATTACCGACAGCGCGAACGATCCCAACTCCATACTTGCCTAAGTACGCGAGTATCTATGGTACCGAGCATCAAGTTATTTTTGCTTGAGAATAGAAATAGGAGAAAGAGGAAGAGGAAAAGGAGGAAGAGAAGGAAGAGGAGGAGGAGGAGGAGGAGGAGGCTTTTCCTATGGCTTCATAGCAGATGAAACTGAAACTTTTATTCGAATAGCGTTGATGATACTCGTATCTTTCCGTAGGCAGAACTAACGAAACTCTTTATGATATTAGAAGCACATCTGCGAATGAGAATTTTGTTTTTCCTCGTGACGTTTTAACCTATTCACGTTTACTTCGCGCAATAAAGTTTTGTTAACGAGAGAGAGAGAGAGAGAGAGAGAGAGGGAGAGAAAATAGTTTAATGTAAAGTACTTGTGTTCTTTGGCTATTAACGTGAAAGAGTTTTAAAGAAGTTCCACGTGTATTTATGATTTTTCCTTGAATATTTATCGCCAAAATGCATACTTCTTTCCTGTCGATTGCATATCAAAATATAACCACTTAAGAAATATAAAATAATCAACTACTACCTCGTCGTTACGTGGGTGTTTAGGTGGAAATCCCATGGATGTGTTGATAACTATTTTTATCTTACCAGGAAGCAAAAGATATATTAGTGGCAAGCGATTCGACATATAAAAGTGACCCTTGATCTCTAAGAAGACCAGATGTCAGTTGTTTAAAGCATCCAACTGAAAATAGTTATGGCAGTTTCGCGCCTCGCTTATCGCGAAAATGTCCGTGTGTCTGTGTGTTTGATTATTAAAATAATTTATTTATATCCTAGATAAATTCTATATCTGACGTGAGATTGAATCAAAAATTCTTCATCTTTTAACCGAAAGGCATCATCTGCCTGATTTTAGATACGGATTTCTTCTAATCGTCGATCTTTCTACGTTCAAAGAGACACGCATATTGCACGATGCTATCTATATATATATATATATATATATATGTATATATACATAAATATGTTATATTCTCGATCGACGCTACTTGAGAATAATTGATCGAGTCGTTATAACTCGCAGTATTAAACGTATCGTGTTGTATTCATTAACGCGACATCGCACAAGTCCTTTCTTTGGTTTGTTTTTTTTACCAAAACCGAATAAAACCACGTCATTTAATTTTTACTTAAAAAGATTTATAGACGGATAGATAGAAAGGGGCAGATATTTCACGATAGGTAAAAAGATAGAAATGAAAAGGAACGAAAGAGAGAGAGAGAAGACGGAAAGGAAGAAGAAAAAGAGTAGGAAGAGGAAGAAATAAAAAAAAGGGGGCAAGTGTGAAGATGTAAAAGAAAAAAGAAGAAGAAGAAAAAAAAAATAGAAAAAATACATACAAGCGTTCTCTTCTTAGTCGTGTCGTAGTAGGCGTGGGGTCAGGGTCGCTAAGAATTAACGCAAGAATAGAGACGAATTAATTAATTAAGTCATCTTAATTGCGCCCCCGTCCCCGGTTAAATTCATCTTCCTCCTCTTTCGGTGTCTCGTTGTAACACGTCCCTCCTGTCTCTTCTTCGTACGGTGTCATCCGCAAGTTGTACGTTCATACTACATACGTCGACACGCTTTAGTTAATTACACTCGACCGAGTAGTGTAAAAAAAGTGCTAACTGACAAAAAAGGAAACCGATAATAGGAAGAATTCAAGGCGACTACTACGAGATGCGGAACGAAAAGTAGTCTCTCGCGACTTGGTAACCATTAGAAAAAAGTTTCGTGTCAATGGAACAATCGACTCTGTCTCCGGAAGAAACGAATTGACGAACTCCTCTCTCTCTCTCTCTCTTTTTTTTTCTCTTTATTTCGTTTTTTTCAACTTCCTTTTAACACTTAGCCAACCGCTCGGGTAGATCTACCTTTTTATCAAGCTAGTCGGTGGACGACCGATCGGGTAGATCTACCATTTTCATCTGAGGAATGCTTCTTTCTCTATAGAGCTTATTTATATAAAATACAACATATAATAAATAAAATGCATCAATTTTTGAAATCATTTATTGCTCATTATTACGGGATTTTCGATGGTGTATTTGCCAGCCATAAAATTATTATTATTATTAATATGAGTTTATTGTCGCATCAACAACTAGGTTATTAGCGACATGATACATTAGTTACAGTATATTATACATTAATTATATTAAAATTAATATTATATGTGTTCATACATCTTAATTGCTTTAAGGAAATGAATAACATTTTTATGGTGTTCGGTCAGGGTGAGAGGGCCGTCTTTAAATCGCAAGTAATTCGATATTTTATTCGTACGTTTATGTAATTGGGGCAGTCTACTAAAAGGTGTTTAACGCTTATGGTTTCGTTACATGTTTCACATTTTGTGATTTAGGCATTCCATCAAATAAGTACCATAAAATTATTTTCAACAATATTTAAATATATTACTACCCTTTTTGTTCTATATTTGACTTACGTTATCTTTACTGTTCTTAATTTTCTAACTCTATTATCTATACTTTTTGAATAACCATTAGAGAAATAATTATTATAAACTTTTAATTTCGAATTTTCTATAAACAATATGTGATAATTGTTGTTACGAAATTGTTACCGTAAGATATAATTGATCACATAAAAAAATAGCGAAATTTTAGTCCGTGCTACTTCAGAAAAATGCGCGGCGGTGGAGAGCGCAGTTTGTCCTTTCCCGAGCGCAGTGGAGAGCGCAGTTTGGCTTTCCCAAACGCGGTAGAAATTGTAGAGGTCTCTGTGGGACATTCGGTCGGTTCTAAATGTTAAGTTAGTTTTTTTTACCTAAGCAAGTAAGTACTTCAATAACGGTCAACTTAATATCTTGACAATGTGTTAGAAAAAGAATGGAAGAATATCGATTGAATGAATACTATATAGCAGGTATTGTACCGTATATATGTATTATTCTCTATACAGGTACTTAAATATACAGGGCTATAAGATGTTCTATGGAAATATTTCATTCTTTCGTTCCTCTCAGAGAACCTCATATCCTCCTTTCGGTTGTTCAATCTTTTTCTTTCAAGTATATCGATGCTCCTCAAAAATGAACCTTCCGTATCGTTCGTTCCTTTTCATGCATCATTTATTACACGACTCAAACATCCTACGACGATTCATGCCGATGATCAAGGCTGGATTTATGAAAGCTTAGAATTCGTAAATAAGGCCCCCTCCCCTTAGTCCACGTTTTTTTTGTATAAAATCTTTCTGCCTTCTTCATTTTTTCTCCTACATACTTACATGCATGCATTTTTGTTCTTGTCGTCGTAAAAATCGTAAAAAAACAAAAAAACAAAAAATATAAATAGCGCGAGCGTTCTGCCATTTTCGTTAATTTTTCTTGTTCTTTTTACAATAGAAAAGAAAGCAACCTTTGGAGAACAGTAGTACTAACCTAGGTTAACCCTGTAATTAATGATGGTAGTAAAGGTAGCTTTAGAATTGTTCATTATTCTCTCCCTAATTGAAATATGAAAAGCATTATGCATGTGAGAGTGCAAACAACAGCGTGGAAATAAGTTTTTGTTTTAAATGAGAACACAACGCGACCAATAAGAGGAAAAAAAGAGAGAATGAATGATGGTGATAAAAATAAAACGATTTAATTTTAACTTCTCGAATGTAATGATAGCAAACATGCGTAAGCAACAGGAGGAAGTGAAAAAGGTTATGGAGAGAAAACGAAACGGAAACGATTAATGTTAGTTTCAACGTGTCGTATACGTACACTAATTTCTTTAGTCATTAAAGAATATGAAAAAGGGCGGAAGAAGGTCCGTTCATTTGGAGCTAATAAAATATTTTCGTACCTCGTGGGACTGACTCTCCTCGTGCAGAACCCGGTCGGCCATGGCCTAGTGAGATTGAGCGTAGACATTGCCAAGTCACTAATACAAAAACTCCTTCGATACTTGCTCGTCCACTCAACGCGGAATACATTTATATGCATTGGTAATGAAAAATT